TATATACTTTACCACAATTTTTTTTAAAGGCAAGAGCATAACTGAGGAGGGGGTAAAAAAAGGTGGGCCCTGCAAATGTGGGTGCAAATAGACTTGTGAATCAAGTTATGTTTAAGTGCTTTGGATTAACTTATGAAGAATCATTTATGAAGCCCTTGATTGATCTGTTTTTGTTCATCAGCATTTTCATCGATCAGTTTTGCTTGAGCACACCTCCATTATTATTCACACCACTTTCTTTTTCCTTGACCTCTAGATGTTGATGGTTCTGAAGAACCTCTCTTCGAGACTCTCCTTGTCTACTTGTACCTGCGTGGCAGTGTCAACCTCCTGTCTTCACATCTCATTTTGGTGTGTAAGCCTTCTCTAAATTAACATCTCACGCCTGACCTCTCTGCCAGGCTGCATCTTGAACTGCAGCTGTCTGCTAGACATGCCTTCAGCATCTCAAACTCAGTTTGGCCCAAAATGGACTCATTGTTTTTCTCTCGTTCTGCTGAGTTTCTGGTTTTTATGGAAGGCACCATCATTGTTCTAGTGCCTCAAGTATAAAAACATACAACACTTTTGAGCCCCCTTCCCTCTCCCTGTCTTCCAGATCTGCTCAGCTCTCAGCCCTGTTGCAGTTCCCACCTGTGATGACCACATCCTGCACAGGCACCCTTGTTTCCCCGTGCAGTGCCCATGCCCAGCCCAGCCCTTCGTCCCCTCTTGAGTGGGCTGCTGTGACTGCCTGCTGGTCTCTTTGTCTCCGGCCTCTCCTTGTGGGTTTGCCACAGCCATCCTGAGATTGCAGCTGTGAACTAGGCAGAGGAGAGCCAGGGAGAGGCCAGTCCTGTTCCCTGTACTAGGAAATTAGACATCTGGATAGGGCTCACCTCAAAGAGGAGTGGGACACAGCACAAATCATGATGTCCTGAGATGCTTCTGGCTGAGAAATAGCCCAAGGGGGCGGGGCTGGGTAAGCGGAGGAGGTGTGGCAGCTGGACTGATCAGGCAAGTCTTGCAGTTCCAGGTGATCAGCCCATTTGGGAGCAGAAGCCAAGCCAGCAATGGAAGGAGGAGGGGTAGCAGGCTCAGTTCCCAGTAGAGGCAGCTGGCAAGAACCAAGTAGGGCCAGGTCTATAGCCTGGTGTCATGGGGTTCAGGGCAGGGAGAAGGAGGGCTCCTCAGGCAGAAGTCCAGCATTCTGCCTGCGCTGACCAAACAAGGAAGGTGGCAGTTGTGCTTGGGGGTTCGTTGTCTCTCTGAATCCAGGGTGCTTGGCAGCCTTGGGAATTCCTCTGCTCTAGACCTTCACCTGTCTGGACCCCTCAGCCTGGAATATGCTCCCTCCTCACAACTTCCATATCGTTAAATCCTTCCCATCCTTAAAAAATCTGATCAGATGCCCCTTCTTTCTTGAAACTGTCACTCATTCTGCCAAGCTGTAATATTCTTTCTTGGACTTCTATAGTCTTTTATTTCACCTCCCTTCCTGCACTTACTACTTTCTACCTTGGACTATAGGTACTTATGTTGCCAACTCACTAGACTAAAAGCTTTTTATGGGCAAGATTCAAGTCTGAGGCTAGCACAGTTGGATGGCTCAATATATAGTTGTGTGGCTCAATAGATAGTCCTTGATTTCATTCAACAATGAATAGACTACAGTTTCCCTTTACTAGTTTCTCTGAATCAGCCATTCAGTAGCTGTCACCCTCCACAGGCCTGCTAAGTTACTGTAGTCTTCTCAAGTGCTGCTAACCAAATATTTCCAATTCTTCTTCCCCTGGGCACTTGAATCCTTTGTGTTTTGGAGGCCACATGAGTCATTCTGGGCAATGAACTGTGAAGGAAAGTGACATGTGTTCCTTTCACGCCAGAGCATTGGGGCCACTATGAGACTCTTCTGAGTGCTCTTTTCCCTTGGGCATGGCAACTGGCAACAGTTGAGGTGTTGGCTGCTCTGTCATCTTGAGTCACCCTGAATAAATCCATGAGCAGAGCCCCCGTTGCTGACCTGTGATGGACACCTAGCATGAATAAGAAATAAGTCTTTGTTGTTTTCAGCCGCTGAAATATGAAGGTTGTCATTGCTGCATACCCCAGCCCAGCCAGACAGACACCTTTTCCCTGTCGGTTGATCAGCTCTAGATATGACTAGCACATCACCAAATCCTGCTGGCTGATGGGTGACCTGATGGGAAGGCAGACGCAAGAGGAAGCTACATCTTTAGGCAGCAGAGTGCATCTCTCAGCAGTTCAGTTCCCTCGGTGGTGTCTCACTGTGGAGTCCAGTAATTTAGATGCAGATGTGCAAGAACGGATGCTACCTTCCACTCTCCTCTCTATGTGCTGCCTTCTAAATTAATTAAAAGCTAGGGGTGAGCAGAGAGGATACTCTATTAAGTTAGAATGTTCTTTTTAAGTTTTTTGAGTCTACAATAGGATTTTCTCATCCTTCAGCCAAGCTATGTTTTACGAGAGTTAGCAGCATTCCTCTCCTGGTGGGCAAAAGCATCGCACTTTCTAGATACGAGTGTGTGACCTGCTTCCCTAGAGGAGCTTCAGCATCTGCAGAGGCTGCTTGTTGAGCTGAACAGCTGAGGAAAAAGCCGAGACCTGTGCACCAAATGCTCTCTGAGCCACAAGCCTGACAAAACACAGGTGAAGCCCAGCCTTATGCCGTATGCAGGTCTTCCTTGGGCAGAATAAAAAACCAACAAGCCCTTCTGCTGTACCTCTGACTGAAGGGAAGTGGTTATCTACGTGAAACAAAGATTACAAATAAAAGCTTTGCAGTGTCCTGTGTGTGTGCTGACTGCGAAACCTCAGGGATATACAATGACAAGAGAAATGAGCAAGAGACAGAGATTTAATTGAATAAAAACTCCAGGCTGTGACAGGGGCGGGAAGACATGAAGCAGAAATTAACAACATAATTTTTTAAATGATGATGCAATTAATTAACATCCTGAGTATGTGAGGGGTGGAGAGGGGAGAGGCATCTTGCAGCCCAGAAACACTGCTAAATAAACGAGAAGGGAACTCTGCATTTTAACAAACCAACAAAAAAAAAAATCTATGGGCAAAAGGCCCGGGTTATCGTGACTTCAGCAAAGCTCCCAACAGCAACCCAAAAGGTTTCTTGTGGCAGAGGAAGCTAACAAATGAATCAACCTTGTATTTCATTTTATTCTGAAACTTGTAATTCATTTTATTCTCATCTGTAGGGGAGAGATATTGGGCTAGATAATGAAGTTGGCAGGCATTCAGGTTTCATTCATGCTTCAGGTTGAGGACTAGTCTCCCCTGAGAATGCTAGGGGTGGGCTCTGGAGCCTGTAGAAATTTACCAAGACTGCTGGAGCAGGAGTGGTAGCAGGTGATTAGGGCGAGGTGGGGGCTGAACATCATCTCCTCAGGAAATGATTTTCCGAAACCATCGGGAGGCTCACTGTGTGAGATGGCTGCTTGGACGTAAGAGGAATATCTGAGAGCAATAACTTCCATGATTCGTGCCCACCACACTCCCTTCTCCAAAAGGTTAGAGTGGTCATCTTCCCCTGCCTACAGGTTTAAGGATGACAGCTGGACATTCATTTTGAGCTCACCTCTGGAAGGACCCCCTCGCACTAATTTCTGGGCTCCTTATGACCCAGGAAACTCAACCGTCCCCTTCATAATTGCAGAACTCACAGTATCTGCTCAATGAGATGGCCATCTTGATGGGGTCAGTCCAGAGTCAAGAAACAGAATGAAGTTTATGGCCTGCCAGGAGTCTTGTCGTGACCTTGGGATTTTTCTTACTCTAGAGAGAACATCCAGCTGCAGGCCTGCCTGACTTGGAAGGCCTATCAATCACAAGACATTGGGGGAGAAAACTTATCTTTTTACCAATGACACGTTAGCCCCTAGCCTCAGGCTCAGTACAGGGTAGAGATTGGGTTCATCTACATTTATTTTTCTAAGCTGAAAACTTCTTTTGCCACAATATCCTGTTACCTCATGCCCAGTCTGGTCATTTTTAGGACTAGAAGATACTACCCAAAGTTATATCAGCAGAGAAACCTGATATCTTGGCTTAAAATGAAGGTTACTTTATTGAGTTGCTGCTTCTAAAGCATGTGCCATATATAAAGAATAAGACACAAGGTGTGTGAATAGCTTTCACGTTCTTGACCTTCCATTGTTGAAAGAAGGGCTCTTCAGCAGACTTACCTCTGGCAAGTCACACACACACAGCTCTGGAAATTGACATTATGTAGTCACAAGTTTAAACGGAAACTCACCTCCACACATTTACCAGGGCTATACAAACTGATTTGAGCAAATCAACCTAGTTATAGGGGGTTGGTGGGAAGGCCACTATTAACTGAACAGAAACGTACTATTACAATACAGAACAGTTTAAACATTTTTTTTCTAAACTGAATTTGGCCTAAGGTAGAGATATAAAGGAAAGAAACCCATCACTACCACTGAAACAAACACACACTGAAGTACTTAGTAACTTATAGAACTAAAGTTTAAGATCAATATCATCCCAGAGCCAAGGGGGCTGAAATAGGATTAAGCTGACTTGGTTTCAATCAAGAAGATACTCTTCGTAGAAAGATGGACTCCAACTATTACTTGGATTTCAAAACTCTCTATTGAGAAAAAAACATTTTATCTAGGCTTTTCTTTGATCTGTTTAGGCATTTTCTGCTGCTTGATACTTCATGGAATTATAAAGCTATGTATAACACAAAAATCATTCCCGAACAAATGTGCCCCCTTTTCTTTACAATAAAGGTTATTTTTGAGAACAAAGATCCCATTTTCAAACAAATGTGGTCATTAACTGTGGTGCGCCAGAAAACATATGGCATGTTTAGTTTCAGCAGAATCAATCCTAAAGAAAGTGACTAAGTTTCCATGAGGAATTAAGACATTTTCAGTTCACGAGGAATGGCAGAGAGGAGCCCGGCATGACCAGCGGAAGGTTCACAGACACCACAGAGCACTTGTGATTTCAACATGGGACCAGGAGTCCACATCTCGGAGAATGTCACAACCGCGAAGAGCTTCAAAGAGTCATAATCAGCCTGGTAAAGGCTCTTCGACCCATTTGCGCCATTCCTGTAGGCCACTGAAAAAGCAGCCACCGCTCCATCTCCCTTCCTTCTTCTCCAGGTTATGGAGCTTGGTGGAGACACAAAATTTCAGAAACTCAAACCACCTCCCCTGAAAAGACGACTATTTTACATTGTATTTTATAGAACCAACTCCTGGGCTCTCTACTCTTCGTTTTTTTCCTACTTCTTTTCCCTTCTTTTCTTGACAGCAGATCCACAAAAAGTGAAAACCACAAAACACATCACCTTGGGAGACAGACAAGACTAAGACAGATCTGACCACACGACAAGTGTCTCGGCCTTGACCTACACAGGAGCAGTTAAGACTCTGGAGTGAGAGATGCGCTGCCGCTGCCGCTGCCACTGCACAATACTGTGTTTAGACGGTTGAACAAGTGCAAAAAGAACGTTGCTGAGTCCTGTTCGTGTCACTTGGCCGTGCAGCTCATGGTGTCGGAGGTGGTTTCGGAGATGGGCAGGAGCTCTCGCTGTCGAAGCTGGCAGCTCGGCCCTGCCACTGCGGAGGGGAGAAAAAGCCAGTTATTGATTGCCAAGGGAATTTACATCTCCACTTCCAAAATTTATCTGGCCCGTGCACTGAATTCACCTTTCCCAGCTTTTGTAAGCTTTCTTGAATTTTGCTCTCAGCCATGCAAAAACATAAGGAAAACAGCATTATAGCTTCTAGTTTGGAATACCTGAGTTTTAAAACAGACATACTGCAGAGATAATTAAAGCTTTCTTCACTGTGTGGATTCTGCGTGTGTGTGTGTGTGTGTGTATTTTAATGAGGTGCTATGACTGGACCATTTCCGAGTGGCTTCAGCCATTTTTCACACTGAAAATCAGATTATGTTAGCAGTGAAAGAGGCAGTCTGCAGAGTATGCCCTTACTGCCAAGAACCCACGATCATGAATTATTAGCAGTTTGTCTGGGAGCTGTTAGTACAGCTAAAACCTGATATTGCTTTAGCTTTGGGCTCTTTTCTTCAGTCTTAATGCTTCCCATGGGCATTCACAACCAACTTGTGAGGAGGTAGGAGGTGCAAGGAGATAGCCACCCCTTCCCCTTTGGGGCATCTCCACCTTTGTTTTCCTCAGTGCTCTTCTCTCACAGGTTGCCTTCCTCTCAACCTGACTCTAACCCTCTGTGAAAGTGGGTGATGTCATGAGGCATAATGGAGTGAGGAGAGGGCTGAGGATGGATGGACCCATGCTCAAGCCATTCCACCCTTCTTTAAATTGAACAGCCAGTCATAGCTAGGCCAATGTTTTCTGGGCAAAGATCTGACCCTGTGAATATTCTCGACCTGTCTGGAGCTGTATGACTTCAAAGTGAGTCAGTGTCCATTGCTCACTCCCTTCTTTTTGTGAGCTGAGGAGACCCAATACTCTCCTAGGTGCCCGCAGGACAAGGCCCCAGAGAGACTTTACATAGGGGTCAAGACGGTCTTTCTGAACCTGAAGTGCAGCCCCTCTGCTTTTCATGAGCTTCAGGGGACTGATAGGGCTGTGGAGTGATGGGGCTGAGTAGGAGTTGCACTATGCATTTGTGCACGTATGGGGGTGGGATGGGGAAGCACACAGTTCCCCCCTCAACACAGCCATTTCTAGACAGAGCTGAGCCACCTAAGGAACAGACCATTTGCCATCCAGCATCTCCTATGGAATAGACGGGAAACCCATGTCACTGAGGAGATACCCAGACCTACCGAACACCTTCAGGCTGCTAGTCCTAAGGAAAGCATCTGTTATCCTTCCCCAGGCTCAGTTCTTCATGGCCGCTTAGTACTCTCTGTAAGGCCAACTTGCACATCTTGACAACTAACCAAAGGCTGGACAATCAGGTATTGATGACCTATTATGGGACCTAGACCTGAGCAACCTTAGTGTGCCAGAGCTGGAGGCAGGCCTGGGAGAACATCCAGTCTAACTCTCTCGTTCTTGCAGATAAGAAAACAAAGACACAGAGAAGTCAAGACACAGCTAGCTAGGGGCAGAGCCAGGATCCAAAACCAGGTCTCCTGACTCCCAACTCAGTGCTATTTACTCCGTCCTGCTGCCATCTTAGCATCTGGCAACAATAGGGGAAGAAGGAGACACAAATGTAATAAGCAGCCTAACCTCTTTGGGTCCATACCAGGTACTTACTCCTAACTCCGGGTGGCAGTCTCTCTGCTTGCAGCATCCACGTGAATGAAATCACAACCGAGGGTTTCCCTGGTGAAATATTTTAGATAAATAAATGCCTGGTTGTCAAGCCCATTGTGCCTTCTGACTCAAGTGTTTCTTAACCAGGAGGTGACATAAGATGATTACTAATGCTTTCATTTAACAGACCTTTATTTTAGAAGTTCTACGTGTTCTGTTACAACCTTTAATGTTGGCAAAAGGTACATTGTAATTACTGGCTTCTCTCCTGGGTAAGTATGCCACTTAATCTGATTGATGGGCCAGTCTAGAGGAGAAAAAACAAAATGGCTAAACAGAGTATGGCTTTTTCTTTATATAATTGCCCAAAGTCACACAGAGCATAATTGTTTATCCAGGACAAATGAAGAAGGCACACTGATTCCTCTGCTAGCTCCTGATTTTTCCTATGAAGATAAACAAAGGGACGAGACAGGGTTCATGGACAATGGGAAGGTGAATGATTCCAGGAAGCTTATCCTAGTGGCTCTGAAATAGCAGAGACCTGGTCCCCGGCACACAGGAAGATGATTGTTCCAGGGTGGCTGTGTTCCAGTAAGATCTTATTGTACTGAAATGGGTCACATTCCAACAGAGATCTAAAATCTCTGGCAGATGATCTGAACTTGACCCTTCAAAATAAAACACCTTGGAGAAGGTCGCTGATAAACCTGGGCTCTGTGTGTGGCGACAGCAATGACACGCAGCACTGGGCAGGAGTGCTGAGAGGGAAGGGGCCACAGCCGCTGCCAGGGAAGGATGCTCGCTATGGCTTAATCAATTTTCATTCATGAAAAAATCCCAGCAGGGAAAAAGACCTTTTCAGTTAATTTGTTCCCCTCAACCTTATTTTAAAACCCCAAACAAGTGAGCAAGTATGGTGCCCTCTGTTCTCATTAATAAAAAAGGAATGATCACAGCACTTAAAACTCCTCTAAGAAAGGTGCAATATAAATGCAGAGTACTTTACGGATATGATGCCATTTATCTTCTGGGGAGCTGGAGAATGAGATTTCTTTACATATTATATACATAGGAGAAACAAGTTCCAGGAGCAAATCCTTGCTCAATGTCCAGAACAGGACCAAAAAGAAGGCAGGATGTGAGCTCCGAGGATGATTGAGATGACCAGTGTCCAAGTCCAGTGCATCACGCGACCACAACGAGGGCTTACTTAATATTAGCCTCGTGGGGTTTCAGATGCATTTTTATAAAGGTCCTTAAACTGTGGGTGCTAAAAGTGTAGGTACAAATTCTTACAAATTTGTACTGATGAAATCCTAAGTGGCCAGGATGAATGTCATTTTCAGCTTCTTCATACAGAGAAATGATCAGCTGAGCAGAAAACGGTAGGGCAGTGAGTGGGGGAGGGGGCACGTCCGGGAGCTTGGTACACGAGGTCAAGAAAAAAGTAAACCCAAAGGATAGGAATCAATTTATTCTCTTTTCGTTTTCCATATACTGTTACTTTCCCTTTACTATCTCATCAAATATTCATTTTCAAGGGCTTGATTCTACTTTTTCTTTCTTTTGTAGTCTAGACTAGTGAGTTGGAGTTCTCAAAGAAACAAGACTCGGAATCAATTATTTGGCTTAATTAGGTTGTATTCTTCACGGAGAGTAATGCTGGGGCTGAGTCCCAGCACCTCCGTGCTACATGGCACCCTGCCCCAAATTCCAGCCGAGGCTGGTCAGTCACTCCCAGTTTGCATGGACAGGCCCAGCCCAGTAACTGAGATGGGTTATTGCAGCTCTAAGATTAAAAAGCTGATGCAAGACGCAGGCTCATTGGCCCAGTCATCTATCATTTAGGGTCAGAGTTTCGTAGAAAAGTAGACCTGGGAGGAGCCCACTCCCTCATTTTACCAACCAGGAAACTGAAGACCAGAGTGGGGCAGTGAGTTGCCTGAGGCTGCACAGCCCATCAGAAGTCTCTTAGCTCCCATTCCATGCCCCTGCCCCTAAACCATCCTGAACGTTTTCGTATACTTATTCGATGCTTGGATATCTCCAAAGGATTTGAAAAAGGAGAGGGGGCAGGGCACCCTCCCTGGGATGAATCAACCCTGCATTCGTGAGGTGCCAAATGTTGTCACCAGGTTGGCTAGAGTTCTGCTCAGTAGCTGCCTCCTGTGTAGGTGGAGAGTGGTCATGGGTACCTCACCGACACCCTGCAGAGAAGGCCTTCTGGAAAAGACGGGGCAGAGGGTCCCCTGGAGAGAGGAGCAGAGAGTTGAGGGACTGGCCTCACTCATAAGAGCTCCACAGCTGTGGTCAAATCAAGGCCACCACGAGAGAAACGTGAGGCCTCAGATGGGCAGGAACCATGTCTTTGCCTAACTCCTCCATGCTGGCCTCAAAGGCCGCAGGGCAGGGGCTTTGCAAAGTACACGCCTACTTGGGGAGGTAAATCCACTAGCCTGGCTCCCCAGAGGCCTCTATCTCCCACAAGATTCCACGTGTCCAATCCCCTCAGCTCTCAGTCTCTCTTGAGACCCCTCACACTGCTGGAAACAGGTGGAAACAGGCTTGCCCACCCTGAGAAGGGAAGGAACCAGTAGGTCCTCCAGGTTTGCTGCCCACATGTTTTCTGTGTCACACAGTGTGGAGAGGCAATTACTCTGTTTAAGGTGACTCTGCTTTTAAGCCGAGGGGCCATGTGGTATAAGGGTTAAAGCTATATTTTTTATTAGTAGATTTCCCAATTTTATCCAGTTCTCTAAACTTACTGGGCTTGAAGCCTGTTAAGATGAGCGAATGATCACCCAGCTTTCTAGGATGCAGATTGGGGTATGAGATACTCAAAATGAAGTTTAAAGCTCGTCTGGTCACCCCCACTCCCCAACCCATTTGAGAATAAGCAGGCCTGGGGTGATAAATCACAGGATCTTAAATTGGTGGGCCCCGTGGAGGTGGGGCAGACTGTAAATATCATTGGAAGGGACATTTTCCTTGCAGCTGAGAGAGAAATGACTGGCTCAAGATTATACAGCAGTTGGGAGGGGCCAAGGTTGGAGCCCAAGTCTCTGGACTCCCAGGCAGTGCTCTGTCCATCACATCTCGGTTAGGACTCGGCCAGAAAGTGTGACACCCGAAGCTGTACTCTCTTCTCCAACAAGGAGGAGTAACCATGCTCCTGAGAGCAGGATCTGGTCTCTGGCGATACCCAACTGCTCAGAGAAAACTGCCATGGGACGGCCTGGTTAGAGCCTCAGGGAACTTACTGCTTTGATAGGAGTAGAATTTCTTGCTAAGTTCTGATCTCACCCCCATGGGGCTTTCTCCTAAAGGACTGGGTTGGCCCAGGGCCCTTATGAAAGCATTCTGGGCCTGGTACGGTGGAGCTGCTGGGAAGGCTTCCTCCAAGTTTTTATTTTCTATTTAGAACTCAGTGTCGCTTTCGATATGCTCAACATCAGAGACTTTTTGTCAGGCAGCTTCCCACCATCTTCCTCCATTTCCTTCCTGCCTGTTACACAGTGGGGGAGAAGCACATGGTCCCCACACCCCCCCGGGAAGGACTCATGAAGGCGAGGTCTTGCAGCAGCCGACTGCCATTCTCCAGCCCGAGCTGCCATGCAGCAAACATGCCAATGGCCAAGCGCAACCTCACCCACCTCTTTGAAGGATTTCTTTACCTCCACCAAGGAGTGCCAGTGTGCGATGGGCTTCCGCGGGTATGCCAGCATCTCGTTCCAGTGGTCCCTGCCCAGGCCCTCGGCGCTGATCCCCACACGACAGACACCAATGATCTCATTGTGGCCCACTCTGAGGGAGAAACAAAGGGCCCAGCGTTGGAGACCAGACATGCTCTCAGAAAGAGAGGCCCCAAGGTCTGGGACTCTGCCCAGCAGGTCTAACTCAGAACGCTGAGCTCTGAAAATAGATGCTTGGCAGGGCCAGAAGGTGCCAGAGGCAGTGACACTTTGCACAGCCTCCTTGGGTGGACATTGGACACAGACAGATAAGCAAAAGGTTGTAAACTTGTTTGGAATCTCAGGAAATGGTGGGCAGACGGTCTGACTTTGGGGAGTGGGAGAGTTCAAGTCTCTTCCATTATCTGATTCGGCTAGCACAGCACACTCTCCCTCAAGACATCAGCATTTGGCAATAAATCAACTTGCTCTGAGTACCACCTCTTCATACCCCCAGCAGCTGGGATGTGATTTATTCACTCAGCAAGAACATCAATCATCACTCAAATATGTTCACCGAGCACCTACTATGCCCGAGAACTTATGATAAAAATCTTGGATTGAGGCTTTACTGCATGGTTTCTTTCTTCTTCAGCTACGCTGACAACTGGAGAGAGGAGTCATTACAGCTAGACTAGTTGGGAAATATTTTTGAGCCAGCCTTGATGGAAGAGCAGGATATGGATAAGGAGAAGAGAAGAAATATATCCAAGGAAGGAAAAATCAAGTTGGATGGATATGCCGGGTCCATACTATAGGAGGCCTTGAGAGTCCAGGGGAAAAGCCTGGACAATAGGAGCCATTGATGGTTCCTGAGAAGGGCAGGCCCAGGAAGAAAGTGATCTTTTAGGAAGGTGTGCCTTTAGTATTCGGTTGGATTGAGCTAGGGAGTGATGCAGGCAGGGATCAGCTAGGCAGCTGCATAGCCATCCCCGAGCAGAAGTGGTAGCAGCAGCAGAAATGGAGAGGATAGAGAGGCATTTTAAAGGACAGATGATAGGACTCAGTGCCAGATGGAGGAACAGGAATAGTCAGGGATGAAGTCAGGAAACTGATGCGTGGAGCTGCCCTGATGGAAATGGGGCAGCTGGGAAGCGAAGCTTAAGCTTCCCCTTGGGGAAATCCATGCTCTTCCTCAAACTCCATACTCATTTTGGGTGTAGCCAGATTTGAGGCCACCGGGTGCCTGAGCCATGAATGACAAGCTCAAGGTCAAGGAGCCGTGTGCTGCGTTGGAGTGGGGGTAGAGGCAGGGAATCATGTCCCTCTGGGACCTACGCTTACCGATCATAATCCATAACTGAGATGAGCAAGCTGACTTGATCCATGTTCTCTGGGGGAATGTCAAAGATGATGGCTTCATTGTAGACAGGATTGAGAGTGTTCTTCTTTATGGTTGTTTTCTTCTTCTTTAGTCTCCGCCCGTCACAAAGCAGGGACACTTTGACGTATGGGTCTGTGCCAATGGGGGTGGTGGGAAGGGAAGGGAGCATGTTAAACAGATGTCCTGAAACATCATTTGCAACAGAAGGATGGAAGCCCCAGGCCTACTGTTGCTCATCAGATGGTATCAGTGGGTTGTTAAAATAATTAAACTACCTTGTATTTATGTAGCACACCTGTCTCTCAGGACACTTCACGCTTAATAAACACAGAGTCTTAGCGACCTCAGGATTCTTGAGAGAGCGCTTAATGGACTCTCACTAATGGAGAAGCTGGCCCCAAATCCGACAGGACACTTGCCCGTGAGTATGCAGTTCACAGCCCTAAATCTCAGCTCATGGTGGCCGGCTGGCTCCAAAGGGTGGTGAGGCTGAACAAAGGCACTCTATTTCTTTTTTTTTTTTTTTTGTAAGGAAGATCAGCCCTGAGTTAACATCCTTGCTAATCCTCCTCTTTTTGCTGAGGAAGACTGGCTCTGAGCTAACATCCATTGCCAATCCTCCACCTTTTTTTTTTTCCTCAAAGCCCCCCAGTAGATAGTTGTATGTCATAGTTGCACATCCTTCTAGTTGCTGTATGTGGGACGTGGCCTCAGCACGGCTGGAGAAGCGGTGCGTCGGTGCGCGCCCGGGATCCGAACCCAGGCTGCCAGTAGCGGAGCGCGTGCACTTAACCGCCAAGCCACGGGGCCGGCCCAAGGCACTCTATTTCTTTCACCTACTTGGAGTCCTTTTCTCTGGGGGGTTCTGACAGCATTATTAACCAAAGGATAAGGGAGGTAAAAATAGAACTCAATGACGCCCAAGGAGTAGCAACATGTCAGAGTAAATGAACAGCGACAATCACAATGCTGTTCGTGTCCTTCCCACCTGACAAAAGGATTATGGGTCCCATTGTCCCAACAAGCTCATTTCCACCTGGCATCAAGAAGGGGTGTAGTGACCCTGCTCTCTGCTTCCCAGGAAGCCATTTCCTGCCCACTTCTGGGCAGTGGAGGAAGAGGGGAGCTGTGGCTGGGGAAGTGAGTGAGGCAGCCTCCTGAGATTCAGGGCAGCCAGCTGATATTTCACTTCTCAGTGGGATCTTGGATTCTTTCCATCCCACGAGGAGATGTCTTTTTACTGAACATCCATGAGCCTCCCATCATTGTCTCTTCTTTAGTTTTCTGAATAGGTATTTCACGGTCATCTTTCCACCCTGAAATTTTCTACTCTTCCGAGTGAAGTGACACCTATTGTATCTCATAGCACAGGTGTCTCGGTCACCATCATAATTGTTATTTATGCTGCACAGCTCAAGAAACGAGAGGGCAACTCACAGGTAATAACAGCTTTTGAGACACTGATGTGCTGAGACACCTTCTTGCCTAGAAGCCAGGGCTCATGTGAATCTGTCAGGAGGTGTGGGCCAAGCCGTTGCACTCGGCTCCTTGATTCGCAGGCATGTGGTTCTATCTCCCGGGCACCAGAACACCCACCAGCCCCTCACGCTCCCTGGGCATCGTTCGGGTGGCAGATAAGGCACACAGCTATGGGGAAGCTAGAAAGTACTGTGACACCTGGTCAGAAACTCCAAGCCTTAAAGGCATTTCTGTAGACACCCAAATGAACCACTGACTAACCAATGTGACAGCGGTAGCTGTGCCTTAACCGTGGGGACACTTGGGTTTATGGAGGAACTGGGGAGACCATGAGGTGCTTAATCAACCAGCTGTCTCGGACTACCCATTTGAAAGGGCCCTATCTCAGGGAGATTTTCAATAAAAAGGAAGGAGGGGCTCTGAGAACCGCTATGAGACAGCTTTTTGGTTTCCACAGGCTCCATTCCCTGTGGATGTGCCTAGGACAGTGTTCAGGCGCGAGCAGACAGGTGAGAAAGCCAGCTCCAAGACCTGTCAGTAACACGGCAACTCCTAAACTCCTTAAGGGTGTACATTGCTTTGAAAAGTGTCTTCAGGCTTGAGGCTGCTCATGTGCTGCCTCATCCCCTGCCATACCTATTTCTACACACTCCCACAGCAGACCAAATTTCCATGTCACCAGGCTTGGAAAAATACGGCAGAGCCACCTGTCCCATGGGCCACTAGACAAATGCCTTGTTACTGACTGGGAGACTCTCAGCTCCCTTCCCCAACCCTATTCACTGCTACGAGACAGATCCAATTTGCAAAATTCAGTGGATGTGTTTCTCTTGAAGGAACCAACAATCTCACCAGCGTCCAAGAGGCTAAGCGAGAGATGACTGTTCCCTAGGGCAAAAATTTGTGGCTTCTAGTGGAATGCTGGCTCCAGCATAGAATATCATAGGCTGTTAGAGAAGAAAGGACCTCACCTTTGAGGTCCTTTCTTCTCTAACAGCCTATGATATTCTATGCAGCTGGAGGAGGCGGCACAAAGACCAGCAGCATATTTCAGCCTCATTGTCACAAGAGCCATCATAATTTAGCGTTTGGTGTGTGCCAGACACTGTGCTGAGAGATTTACATACATCACGTCATTTAAACTTCACATCAACCATATAAAATATTTATTGTCATCATTCCCATTTTATACATAGGGAAATTGAGGTTAGAGAGATTAAGAAACTTGCCTAAGATTTGAAGATGGGGTCTGGCTCCAAAGTTTACATTTTTAACCACTAGACTCAAAGCAGTACAGACCAGATATGCCAGAGATGGGTGAGTTCCTCACTCATCACCCTTTGTGGCATACTGATCCTTATTATTATTTTGTACCATTTTTGTTGTCATTGTTCTAGTAGATAGGCTCAGAGAATTGATTCACGACTAGTTTAGATCAAGGAGAATAGGAAGATCCTTGGTTTTAGAGGTGAATGTCATATAAATCAAGAACAGGCAATTAATAAGCTCCATTCACTCTCCAGTTTAGTTCAACATCAAAGCAGTCTGGGTGGAAGGCAACCTCAAACTCATCCTCAGAAACAGAAGATCTAGTTTGACAGGCCCCTGGCAGGCATGCCCCCACTGCATCACCCCCTGACAAGGTTCCTCATGCTGTAAATTCATCCATTCAATACATATTTATTCAGTGCTTATTGTGTTCCACACACTGTTCCAGACACTCACATCAGTGAACAAAAGAGACAGAAATCCCTGACAGAAAGAGGACCCCTGAATTTTCAGAATCAAGCTGAGATTTAACACCAGATTCCAAACCCAGGTAGAACAGACGGGCAATTGTGAGAGGGAGGTTAGGACTTAGCAAGAGAAATATCTCTCACCCCCAACGCTCTGATGTGGAACGGACTTTATGATTACCTCAGTGGCTTTGCCATACGGTCTCTCTAGCACATCAATTTAATTACACCATAGAAGATAGTGTGGGGACTTGGGCAGCAAAATCCTATTTCCCTCAGCAGCCTAAGAGTCCTCAGTGAATTTCCATCCCTGGCACTCACTTATTTTGATATTAAAATGAAATCTACGTTGGCTATATTTTGGGAGGAAGCTGACTTGATGCTGCCTAAGAGCTTTGCATGGATCAGAGGGGTTCTTTAAGCTCTCCACCGTGTCCCCATGTGTGGTGGTAGCTGCCGTGGAAGGAGAGGCATTAGGGTGGGGGCTCTCTGGGGGAGTTTTTGGCCTGGAAGGCGTGAGTGCAGCAGAGACAGTGGGAGCTGGGAGCAGAGGCTCCGAGGGATTCAAAACTGCAACAAATACACGTTACTTCAGCGCTTCCCGACCACCTTTTCCTGAAACCTCATTTTTCAAGGCCTAATACTGCATCTTCTAACTGCACCAGGTTGCACCTGGGCCCATATGTTTTCCGCTGGACCATCACCTCTTTACGGCAACTGTGATTTTTTTTTTTTTTGGTCTCATTGTCTTTATTTTATTTTTAATTTTTTGTTTATTGCAGTAACATTGGTTTATAACATTGTAAAAATTTCAGGTGTACATCATTATACTTCTATTTCTGCATAGATTACATCATGTTCACCACCCAAATACTAATTACAACCCATCACCACACACATGTGCCGAATTATCCCTTTCACCCTCCTCCCTCCCCCCTTCCCCTCTGGTAACCACCAAGCCGATCTCTATCCCTATGTGTTTGTTTATTGTTGTTATTATCTACTACTTAATGAAGGAAATCATACGGTATTTGACCTTCTCCTTGTGATTATAGTAAGGAGTTTTCCAGGAAATGATTAATGAATAAAAGGAAAAATCTTCCATATATTCCTATCCAAGTTCAGAGGCACCTCTGGAGTGGTTTTACATCTGTAATCTGAATCATCAGAAAAGCCTCTTGGGCGGGTGTCTAGAGAAACAAACCAGGCCTTTTCCTCCATTTGCTACTCTGACTGTGGCCCAGACAGTCTGTGTGCTTGCTCTTTAGGAGGCTTCAACCCATTTCACGTCTTGGGCTAATGTGAGGTGACGTGGGGAAGGAGGTTCAAGCTACTCCTCTGTTACATTGAAACTCAAATACCTTCTCCAACAACGATATGAAGAATTGTGGAAAAGGATTAAACTTCTGACACCATGTCCAGCCTGCAGTCTCTGCAACTGCCCCCAAACCAGCACTTCCGTTTTGCTGGAATAGGACTTACTTCCCCTGCTGTACCTGCAGCTCTCCAGGTGTGGAGGCTGAGGCAGGGCCCCTGCGGGACAAACTCCAAGACAAACACACTGTCCTTTTCAGGGGCTCTGCTCCTTCGCCTCAGTCTGCAGGGCTGCTGCAGGGCCGTGTGCATCTACAAACACTTACACGCTCCAATTCGACAGAATCCTTGGGACTCCCGGGGCCTCACATAAACTAGAAAGATTTTCCTTCATTTTTTTCTCCTATATATTTACCTCTTCATCTCTCCCTCCTCTAAGAGAAAGAATGATAGTAATGGCTGATATCTACTGAGTGCTCAAGATGTGTCTGGCACAATTCTAAGCATTTACATGAATTAACTCATTTATCTTTAAAGCAACCTGTGTAAGCTATTTTTTCAGATTAGGAAACCAAAGCAGTACACAGCAAGGAAGTAGCAGAACTGGAATTCGAATCCAGGCAGTTTGCCTCCAGAGCTGGGGCTTCTATTCCCAGAATACTGACAATTCTTTCCCCTTCTCTCTGAACATCTTTCCAGATCCTAATGTCTGGGCTGCTGGGAGGCCACGTGGCAGCCCACTTGGGTGAGAGAGGTACCTGAATAGCCTGTGATGTCCATCGCCTTGAGGTTCCGACATTTGATCACGGTGAGGGTGAGCCTGCCCGCTGTGGGCAGGTAGCAGAGGGAGAACATGATCTCTCCCAAATCCACGCTTTCCTGCAAAGAAGCAGACAAGAGGGCAGATGAGGGGCACACGGCTCCCCATGCTGCGAGGCCCAGGAGAAGGCTCTTTGAGGCAGAGTGCCTTGTCTTTAAGACTGGAGGGTCTGGCCTCCATGCTGGGACTAAGTGGGTATAAAAGGCAGTGGTGACAATATTGCCTCTGCAGCAGAATTTGTCCCCTTCAATGTTCCCTCTCAGCTCTGAGCAGTCTCTGGTCCTGGTCCTCACCCTCCTGCTATGGCCTGACCTGCCTCCATGCACCCCTTGGCTGTAGCCTCCGGACCACCAGCCCCTTTGGGGCCCAGCCCTGTTCTCCTCCAGCTCATCCTTCTCAGTCACTGGTCCCCCTGACTTCTGGCCCCACCTGGCCTGTGGTCATGAGTGTGTCCTGTACAAGACACACTCTGGCCATCACGTGTCCCCTCTCCCAGCAGATCTGCTTCCAGCCCTCAGCTCAGTCATTCTTCATCAGTCTCTCTGCCTTGGCAGCTTCCTTGCCTCTCCCGAAACACACCTAGCACTCCAACTTCCAGGCCTCAGCAGGGAGGCACAAGGAACCGTGACCCTGCTCAGGACATTCTTCAAAATTGACTGCAGCACAGAGCACACACTCTGCTGCCTCTCCTGCCCCTAGAAGCATCATGGCCAGGGATCCTAATCCTAGGAGGTTCCTGAGCAACAGGGCATAGGAAAATGTCAAAGATGGTAAGCACGTCCATCTGTTGAATTAAATAGCACCTTGCCAGACTGCATCCTCCTCCCGCTCCCCACCTGAAGAAAGAGGGTGCTGTCACTGTGTAACCTCCCCCTCAGGCTCTGAGGCTGGCTTAGGGCTCCAAGACATGGAGATGTTTCTCCTCTTAGGGCTCCCAGGCCCAGAGTGGAGGAGGAGGAGGTCAGGGGCTGGGGTGGCTCTGATTTCAGATGGGGCCATTCATTCATTTGTTGTCAGTCAGTCAACAAATATTAAGTGAGCACCTGCCCTGTGCTAGGAGTTCCTCTGGGTGCTGGAGATACGGAAAAGAACAAATAGACAAAAATCTCGCCTTCGTGGAGCTTACATTTTACTAGGGCAAAGGACAAGAAAAGAAGTAAATAATTTAGTAAAAAGTACCAAGCAGCAAAAAATAAGGCAGGGGAAGGGGATATGAAATACTCGTGGGGGAGGCATAGTGGTTGAAATTGTAGACAGGCTGGCCAGGGAAGGCCCCCCTGAGGAGCTGACTTCTGAGGAAGAGAGCAGTCAAGGGTGACACCAAGGTTTTTGTCCCTTTTCCTCACAAAGAACCAATCTTGACTGGGGACTCCTAGGGACCCCTGATACTTTGCCCCACCTGGAGAAAAATCCAAGACCTCCCTACCCTCCCAGAGCATGTGGTCCCAATGCTCTCCTCTAGATGGCACTGATATCCGCCCTTTCTCTAACCCAAGATTGTCTTTTTTTACCCCCTACCCCAGACCCCAGTCAAACCCAAGGAGTGGCAGAAGGTGAATCCTCCCAGCTCCGCAGGAGAGGGCCTGGCTGTGGCCAGAGCTGGACACCCTGTAGAGGCAGCCACCCACTCCAGCACACAGAACCCTGGGGCTCCACAGAGCCAGTGAGCTGAGAGCAACACCTGTGAGCTCCTGTGCTCCTGGAAGCTCTTCCTCGAACAGCATTTCCACCTTTGAGGCTCACAGCAATTCTGTGAGGCAGGGATTATTGTCATTATTCTCTCCATCTCACAGACGAAGAACTCAGTGTTTAAACTGTTTTAAAGCCCTGCCCAGGCTTACACAGCTGGCGGAAGACACATCTGGACTCCGACTCTTAGGAGAGCAGCACCCTTCCAGCTCACCTAGGGAGCATCTGAAGGTGACCTGGCTCCTCAAGACCTTGGACCACAGCTTCATCCATTTTTTCATCTGTTCATATTTACTGAGAACCTGCTAAAGGCACCACGCTTGTGGAGAGTACACAGTCCCCCCTTCAACATGCACACAGTCTAGTGGGGTGTAACCAGTTAAAAGAAGGTACCAGGACCCCCCCTCCCTCAGGTGCGTCTCCTGTCTCCCCAGTCCCCTAGTCCAGGGAGGGAGACACAGGAAACAGCCCTGCGACATGATGTTGTGGGAGTGTGACTGTCCCCTCATGCGACAGGGATCAGGTCAGCAGTACTCAGGGCTGAATGCTCCATCTCTGACAGAGGCACTGAGGTACAAGGAGATCCCCCAGCTCCCTTTATTTCCCTCATAACCTTCCAAGGTTCGATCCTGCCCAAAGTGAGAGAATAGCAGACTCAATAACAGCAATAAGAACTAACACTATCACACACTCACCATGTGCCAAGTCCTTGGCTAAATTATCTCAGTGAGTCTTACCATGGCCCTGCGAGGTAGGTGCTCTTATTATCCCCATTGCAAACAGGAGAAAATGACTGTTTCATGAAGTTAAGTAACATGTCCAAGGTTGCATGACCAGTGAGTGTGCTGGTGCCAGACTTTCACAGATCAGTTCGTCCTCTGGTGCCAGACTTTCACAGGTCAGTTCGTCCTCTGGTGCCAGACTTTCACAGGTCAGTTTCGTCCTCTGGTGCCAGACTTTCAGAGATCAGTGCGGCTGCTCAAACATCTTCAGGGGCTCCCCTAGTTCGGCCCATTTCTTAACTTGCATTCAGGATCCTCAACAACTGGGTCCTGTCTTATCTCCTCACCTGATTATTTCTCTCTGTTTCTCTATGCCAACCCTCTGCTCCACATGGCTGGTATATCTTTGGTCCCTTTTGCCAAAATGCCTCTTCTTCTTATCTTTGCTTGGACAATCCCATGCATCTTGGAGGGCCCAGGGCCACGTCCCTCGTGGGGATCCTCACCAAGGGATCCTCACGCAGAGAGCATCTCTCCCCTTAGTCCCCGCAGTGCTTTCTGCCCCTGAGCCACTCACAGGTGTTACCAAGGCCCCCTGCGCTGCAGCTATGCCTCCCACTAGGGTCTGGTGACTGGAGGCCCCTTGGGAGCAGGGGCTTGTCTTACACCTACTTGTGCTTCGGAGGTGCCCAATAGTGCAAGAGGAGCTACACAAATACCCACAGAAATGGATGGTGACATTTTAGCCAGAAGAACCCTCAAAGGAGTGGTTCTCAATATCAGTGTTACAGTCAAGTCAGGACCCTGGGAAGGAACCTGGAAGCTCCTCGGGCCACTCTGAGAGGGAGTGAACAAAGGCTGCGGTCATGGTTTCCCCACCACTGCCACCCCACAGATGCAGAGTGGAGCCTTCAAAGGCTGTCTTGTCTGGGGGAGTCTGAGTTGATTTGTTTACGGACTTGGGAGACTTGCCTGGGCATGTGGGGGTACCTCAGGGTAAAGGGAATCAGCTGGGGCTCTATGAACTGCTCTCAAGGATGGCTCCCTCCAGGCGAGCCCTTACCCAGCAGGCCCCCCCCCTTTTCTGCATGGGTGCCCTTTCTTGATAAGACTGTGGCAGCTTGGGGGCATGCAGGGTGCTGAGTCTGCAGCATGGTATGGAACCCTCCACTCCCACCCTGGTCCTTGCACTCAACAGAGAACTCCACCCTCAATCACTGGGCCCAGATGGGCAAAGGGAGTGGGCCAAGATCCCACCATAACCTGGAGGCAGAGAGGAAATAGGAGCCAAGGGGCCCAAAGCCCGGTCCCAGGATCCTCTGCTGTGGGTGAGTGGGCCTCACTGGGCCTGACAGTAAGTTGGCTGCTCTTGGCTCAATGGATCATAGGGGATATTGTTCCTCAGCACACCCAGGCAGCAAGAACTGGGTGATTTGATATAGGAAAATAAATAGGTTACTTTTGAGTAAATAGAGAGATGGGGACTAAGCAAACAGAGAGTCAACATCTCCTGGTAGCCACCTTCCTCTCTGGGAAGCTGGACCCCAGCTCAGCCCCATGGGTAGCCTCACCAGGCCCTCTCTCTGCACCACCCCATTTCTCAGGAGGTTTCAGCCCCAGATCCTGTGTGCCCTGCCAGTCTTTACCCTCATTGGGATGTTTGAGACTTTGGCTTTAATAAAACCAGGGGTGACCAGGGGCTGCAGAACAGCCAGTATGTTATTGCTTTCATCTTCACCCACTGTCACGGGAGGCAGACTTAGGGCCCCTGACTGGTAATGAGCTTCCAGGTGCTGGAGAGGTCACTGCTGTCCAGAAAGCAGCAGAAATCAACTTCACCCTCTTGACTGCTAACCTGGGTGCTAAGAGAGCGGATCTGAGCCCAGTAGCAGCTGTAAAAGTCTTGGCTAGTGCTTGGAGGGGGTGGGCCGGCTGCCAGGGGAGGGGGAACCAGGATGTTGGCTCTTGGAGAATTCTGTCCTCAAGGGCAACCTGGCCACCTGACATCGCTGCCCATTATAGTAGCGCTCTCCCCTGGCTGCAGTGCCCTGGCATCTGGGCAATAAGATTCTTAAAGTCTCATCTACTGCACCACATTGCTCTTGCTGCTTCCCAGCAGTCCATTTGCAACAGCTCTTTAAAGCACTTCTCTCTCCTTGATGCACTCACATAGCCCCAGGCACAGAAAAAATTCCTATCTGTGGGCTGCCCAGGAAAGACCAGTAAACCACAAGTCAGGAGACTTGCTTAGTCCTTCTGCCACTAACTGGCCACAAGAACTCGGACACATCATTTCACGTCTCTGGGCTTCAGTCTGTGAAAGGAGGGAGTTGAACTAGATGTTTTAGCCTTTAGGTCCCTGCCAGCCATAAAAATCAAGGATCCAAACTGGAAAATCTATCATCAGCCATCACCAGTTGAGATGGCCCAAGGAGGCCTAACTGGCCTCAAGGAATCTACCAACTTTGTTTTGAATCCAAATGCTCTCATTCCTTCAGTCCCCGCTGCCTCCAAGTGTTTTGGGCTTCTCCAGGGCTGGCCTTCTTCCTCCTAATAGGCAATGAGTGGCGTCAATGCCTCAGCATCCGTCTTGGGAATCCAGGCTGAGTGAAGCAAGAACGATGCTTCCCCGTCTCTTAGAGAACACT